GCCTTTTAATTGAATAGCATTCTATTGTTCTCAGTAGCACATGGAATTTTAAAAATGCAGTCAACAGCTTCACCCAAAGGAGTGTGTGGAAAAACTAGGACTGATAACACAGTGTCTTTTCCAGCTGTCACTTTTCCAAGTGGGTGTGGTACCGTACATTTAAACAGTTATTTATTAACCTGTTTCTGCCTGCATGTTATGAATGAAAACCTCTTTGAGGTTCTGTGATTACACTTTTTTATCAAATGAACTTGATGAGCTGTGGGTTCTATGTCTCACAGAGCACAGATAAAAAGAATATTATAGTATAGTTCCCATTAATATTTGATTCTTGATTCTTGAGGAACACTGAAAGGTCACACCTTGTGTAATTCTTGTTTTTATAGCTGCAGTTTCTGAGCCAAAACTCTCAGTGCTTTCAGCTGAGAGTGGAGGAGAGACTCTTCAGTGTGAGGCCAGCCTGCTGGCTGCCGGAGGCCTTTGAGGTTCGCAGTCTTCTGGGATGACTCAAGGCGAACAACATCCGCTGAAGACCCAAAAAGAGATCAAAACGCCAGCGGATGTTACACTGTGACACGAAGAGTGACCCTCCAGGATGCAACCAAAAGGTTTATATTAAGTTTATTTATCTGGCTTCAATTAATATTCTATAAGAATTCCAAACTAAGTGATCATCTATTTTATAGCACATAACCAGAAAAGAAACACATTTTCATTCCCATATGTTTGGCTCAAACTCCTGTTGAAAACAGAAGCTGCACTCTAGGAAGAAAGAGTTCCCAACAATAACAGCTCTTATTGCAAAAACAAACTTAACATTGTCAGTGTGATGTCAACACTGATGATGCAGGTCCCTCTCTGCTTATACTGAATAAACAAGCGACAGGCGGCCATGTGTGCAGTTTCCCAAAGGAAAGACTACAGAAAAAAAAAACAGAAAAGACCAGAAAAAGAGTATTATGGACATTCCATATGAAAACTGTACTTGTATGATCTGTAAAATAAATGTCTTCTCTTCACAGCGTCACCTGCAGAGTTCATCAACCGGGTATCAACCAGACCAGGGACACACAGATTCTCATACCAGGTATGAGAATACAGCTGCTCACCTGTACCATCTTTTTTATGGAACATATACACATACAGACTCCATTGGCCCTTGCTTGCTGAATTTGCAGGAAGTGGAAAAGCATACTCCTGATAACAGATTAATCATGAGATCTCCTTGTTTTATTGTCTTTTCAGTTGACTGCATGAGATCCTGCTCTCTAGCTATTAGCATCGCTGTTGCAGAGGGTATTATACTTCTTTTCGCTTCGTGTGGATTAGCTGTCTTTTTATGGAAGAGAAGTGGCAAAACTGGTAAGTCACTGAGACAATATTGTATTCGGCATAGAAACTCTACTTCTGTATTAGAAAAAGCAGTGGAAGTGCACATCTAGTGTCTTTGCCTTGTAGTAACACAAGAGGCCCACATGAAAGATCAGCTGAATTTAGGGAGGGAACAGTCAGCCTCTGAAGAAATACTTTCCAGTTCTGTAATAACAGGCTATTATTCAAATTTTTAATTATCTTTAATTTGGCGTAATGTCCATTAGTTGTAATAAGGTTGTATTCACCATGTTAATTGCTGGGATCTGGGAACATGGAATTATCCTTCAATTAAAGATTAATAGGACCACTAACTGTGTTTTTCCCCCCACATATTCACACAGTGGGACAAAAGTTGAAGGTGACGAGGCAGTCGTCAGATCAAAGTACAATGAGTGGTACCTCTGAAAATAGGCCGTTCGTGCAAACTGCCGAGGCTGATGGGGCTCACAACGTGAGAAACAGCGACATCGAGGAGCTGAAAAGAGAGTTGGTTGACGTCAAGTCAAAGCTTCGCAAAAAAGAAGAGACCATCCACCAACTGGAGAACAAAATCAAACCTCAGCTAAGTCCTGTTGTTTGCTACCAAGACCAACCAACGACTGTCTGCAGTCCTTCCAAATGCTCACCAGACGTCCCAAAACCCTTAAACACACCGTTCGACAACGGCCAAAAGGCCAGGAATGGATCCGATGACCACAATCCAAAATCCACAGCTTCAACCAGCAGCAAACCTCAAGTACCTGCCAACTTATTCAACAAAGGTCTAAAACCTGTCATGTCACGACAGAACAGTGATCCAAAACCAGTCCAGAGAAAGCGCATCCACAGCCTCCCC